CTTGTAAAAATCCACCAGTATTCAGATTTCTAACTCAGTGAAGACACACCATAAACAACTCCTCAGCCTCTCAGTGTCTTTTTTAGGTCACAGCCAGGTTTTCAGACATCTTCCCTGAGAGGGACACGTTGTTGCCTCTCCTTAGGATACCACTTATATAACCACATGTTCTCAATGGTGACGCAAGCCTCGTGCGTTCCTGGCCACAGCAGGACAGTGTGCGAGACATGCAGCCTCCAGGAAACAGCGATTCAAGTTATGATAATGCTCCACTTGGGATCTCAGTCTGGAGATGGGCCTGAACTGAAACAGAGGACAAATGCATGTATTCTCTGAAGATCGTAGCTATTTGTTTGTACACAAAGGATTGCCAGGGATACTACAAGGCTTCTCGTCTATCTCCACAATAATCTACTCCAGCTTGACTGAGCCCACTTCTATGCCATGGTTTACCCTGCTCAGCCCTGAAAACTGGAATCTTGTTATTATTGTATTTATCTTTTAGTGTGGTTATAGGGAAGGGCTGGAACTGAAGGGACAGAAACATCTCTAGTCCATTATTTCTCTGTCAAGCTCTTTAGGAGACAATAAATGTGGATTCTGTTTCTGTCTTACAGAAATTATAGAGTTAGCTTATTTGAATGGATAAGAATGAGCAAAACAGAGGTAACATCTTCCAGCTCTAGGAGATGACTAATAGAAAAGCTCTTATTATATTTACTATGGACTAAATGGTACAGCTTCTGTCTCTTTGCTGTATGCACTGGTAGTTTCAAGGAGAATAGATGTTGATGTTCAAGATATGATGATGTTTGCATTAAAATGCCTTGTTCTTTTTAAAAAGTTGAGCTTGATAAACAGGATTTAAAAAATGACAACGTTATGTAAAGGTACGTGAGGACAAGCTGAAAACCAGCAAGGACAACCAAATGGCTGCAGTACACTAATTGTTCATATTCTCATACCCCAAGTAAGGAACTGTGCAAGGGAGCTACCAAGGGTTTTAGTTTCAGATCTGATTTTTGTAATTATTTGTAACACACTGCCCAGTCACATTATAACAATGCATACTGTGGATTAAGGGAGCTCAAGTTTAAGGAAGATAAATCAAAAAGGTGTGTTCGCGATTGGGAATATGTGGAAGGGCTGACCCATACAAGACAAAATTCTCTAAACATTTTCCACTTTTAGGTATTTAATAATATTTGGTTAGGAGACCCCCGAAATCCCAGGCAATCTATGCACAAGACAGGTAAAACAACAAACAGCTGGCAAACATGAAGCCACAGGCGTCAAACAAGCTCTTAAGCTGTGTTCTGCCTCACTGCCAAACCTGACCTAATGGGTGGAAAAAAAATAAAAACGTCAATAAAGGAATGTGCTCACAGTACAGATGAACAACTTTGGATGTTTGTGGTGTGACATCAGAGATGCAGTAATGACATTTAGCACTCAGTGTGGGAACTTCTCATCTTTGCATGAAAGGATTAATTCTGGTTCCAAGTTCACCCATTAGGAGCCTCTAGCCATAAAAATCAGCTGGTTTGAGAGCAGGAGCTGAGGGGTTGATTTTTTTAGTTGTTGCTGCTTTGTTTTTAATATAAGATCATTATTTTTTTTTAAGCAATTTTGTTTTGTTTTCAATTCCATCACTTCTTTCCTTACAATATCCATTAGACAGATGATGTGAAGGGAAAGAACAAGAAAAGGGAAACTGAAGAGATGCCAAACTAAGAGCACAGAGTTGTGCCATGTCAAGGAAAAGGACTTGTCTTCATCTGACAGAAGTTATTCCCATTCAGCCTGAAGCTAATTTTCCTCCCTGTTCTTCATAAAAATCTGAACTAGCCTTTAGGTGACTATACTGGGGAACACTAAGATGATTTTTAGGCTCAGCAGAAGAAAGACTACAATAACTTTACTGGGAAGGATTTTTGTAATAGAACCTTGGACAGGAGGACATTTCTATTTACACAAATAACTTCTATAAGAAATTTTATAAGAAGTCTGCAAGGTTACAAGTTTTCTCCAATGCAATCTGGCCTCAGTGTCATGCTTTCATCCAGATAAACTTGGAGGTATTCGAGGAAGTCTTATGACTGACTAGCTGAGATTTTTTTGTACAGTGTTAGTTTATATCCTTTATTCTGAGAATACATGCTAACTTATTCTAGGAGACAATATCTAAAAGTAGATCTCTATTATTTCTAAATTGCAAGTTGCAAAGATCATTACCCACAACCCTGACAATTCTTATTAGACACAACCAAGGATATAATACTGCCTGTAAACAGTAAAGGTATATTCACAGTTTAAGTTGGTTTCCTGTCAACATTTTCTGTACTTTAATAGGACTGCAAAGAAATTAGTCTTTTAATGGCAAGCAGGTTAAATACACTTCCTTCCCATTTTCCAAGCATGGTGCAGGCTTCTGTAGCAGTGAGCCATGGCCAGCCAGCCCGCCTATTAGCCCTGCATTCAGGAACTGACCACAGGTAATTAGTGCTCTTCTGACAGTGGAGGGGCGCAGAAGGTGAGAGCCCAGAGAGGCTCTCTGAGCAATATGGCTTTGCTGTTCATCACAGCTGCATATAACCCCAAAATGCTTGGGGGAGGAGGAAAAGGAGCAGCAGTCCACTATAAATTTACCTATGCTAGATGACTGACAAAGCCATGATAAACAAAATAGTTCACGTGATGTTTTGTGACTCTCATTTTGTAACAAAGAAACAGATTTTACTGTGTTGAGTAGCTAACATGAGAATGGGCAACTGCAGCCCCAGAACCTCTCTCTAAATACACTGTGCTCACCATGATGTGCACAGTCAACAGGGAAGACTGTAGAAACCACAATGAGAAAGTCATCTGGAAAGTTAAAGTTATAGCACAAATGAGAGCCCAGGGAACTTCTACTACATTGCCAAAACTGCAATTTAATGTTCAGGCCAAAAACATTGCACTGCACATTAGGGAGACAGTGTGGTCTGGAGGTTACAGAAGAGGGCTGGGAACCAAAGGATCCTCTTGGGATTCTATCTGGAATGATCTGCTCCCTCTGCAACTTGAAGGAAGTCACTTTGATTTCTGTATCTCTTAGTTTAGATATGAATGTAGATGGAAAACAGAACGTCACTAAAATCTCTCCATGCTGTAGTCAGACCTTATCTATGCAGAATATGTCAGTCTTTTTGACAGTTCATTTCAGGAGGGAATGTCCAAGAAGGGGATCCAAAAAACAGCCTAGTTTCCTAATAAGAAACAAAATCAAGCACAAAATCAACAGCATTTTTATGGTTAAAAAAAAATGTATATGAATGGTACAGGAAACATTAAGCTGCAAACTGTTCCTGGAGAGGGTGGATTTCTAGAAGAAAAGAAAAGGTATCAGGAGGAATCTTGCTGCCAGCATGACACCAATTTATTAAAAAGATACCTTAGCAGTCAGATTGGATGCTGATACTCAAACGAAGGTGTACATTTGGAGTCATCTGGTCAACAGTTTGTGGTATCCACTGGTGAGAGAGAACTGGGCAACATCAAAGTGAGCAGATGTGCTGCTCTGCTGCTGGTCTATGGAAATAGGCAGGAGGGTCCTCCCGGGTCAGTGGCCTACACTGCATCAAAGCCATTCTGCAGTTAAGCGGTGCCATTTCACATGAGTGAAAGTTAGAATGTTGAGGATTCTCTCACTACAGTTGGAATCACATTATTAGAAGGCCTGGATTTGCCACGGATACAGCTTCCTAATATCTGCTAATCCATTATTTCAACTCTGAAGTCCAAGTCTGAAAGCACGGTTGTGCCTCAGCATCACTCAAGGACATTTTACTCAAGAACCGTGATCAAAAACTGCACCCAGCCCTTCGACTCAGCTAACCCAACCTGCTCGGACAGTCACACCAGGATCCATTCAGATTCACCAGCCATTCACTAAGTCAAAGGAAGGAAAGCCTCAGGTTGCAGCACCATCTTCCCTGCAGTTTCACATACAACATACTGTCACTTCAAAAAAGGGTCTAGTACATTTCAATCTCATTTTTATGATTTGCCTGTTATTTTAATTCCTAAAAACATATTTTTGAACATTCCCTTTAAGTGTAGTACCAGATAAATACGATGGGAAAGCATTCTGCAGTAAGGATGCGTTCTCCCTCTGCTCACAAATGGCTTATAAAATCCAACAGTGACATTTTGGCAATCAGAATTATTTACATAGGAGATGGATGACTAGGCATGGGAAAGCAGTCCTGTGTTCACATCAAAGAACTACATTCAAATTCTCACATGTTACATATACTCATTTTTATTTACAGACAAGAATGATTGTGTAACTTAGTGCAAGCATGACCAGGGAGAAGTGCAGTAGGCTGAAAGGGGAAAAATACCGCTTTACTTGCACAGCACAAAAGTTATCTGATTGCATCAGATAGGAAAGTGTTGCCTCAGAGTTCAAGCAGGGGCCATGAAAGCTGAGCTCCTACACTCCCAGATCTTGTCCTGCAGCACAAAGTTGCTGAGTGATGTTTCTCACTTCTATCACCTCAAAAATAAGCCCTGCATGCTGCTGAGGATTTCAGAACAACAACAACAAAAAAAAGCCAAGATACAAACAAACCTCCAAGCCAAAAACCTCCAAACAATAAGCTGAAGAGCAATCCAAGGCTTACAGTGCTACCCAGCTGCAGTTAGTCTCTCCTGTTTAGAACCTCTCTCGTAAATGCTCCCTCCTACCAATCACCTCTCACACCACCAAAAAGCCAGTTTTTTCAGTGCATAAAATGAGGCCTAGAAATCCACTTTTAAGGATACCAGTTTAAAAAGATCTCAACAGCGTATTCTGTGCTTGAGAATTAAACTCTGCAGCAGCACTAAGCACAAGCTAGCAGCTACAAACCAATTAGTTCACACCTGGGAGCGAAGGAAGGCGATAGCAGTGCCTTCTACTAGGATACAAGCACTGCAGAGCAATGAAAGATAACAACAAAGAAAAAACAGCTCACCCTTTCTGATGACCAGCAACAGCTCAAGAGAACTGCAATCTCTATCCTGAGACACTACTTTCTTAGATGCTAATGCTTAAATGAGGGCGAGGAGGTGGTGAGGATTGATCTGGTGGTAATTCTGTTTCGTTACTTGCACCTGAGCTCCCTCGATTAGCCATGCATTCTCACCTGCTGTTCAACATTGGTTCACGCTATGACCCGGCAATTCCTATACAACATCTCAAAGGCAACCCCAGTTTGACTGAAGAATTTTGGGGAACCTGGTTCTAAGCAGAAAGTATAGCACACAAGTGATATTAGAGAACAACAATAACAACAAAGGAACAGTGGTATAGAAAAGTAGTGATTCAAATACTATACAAGTTACTTAACATTAGAACTGGATTGGGATTGTGGTTTTTTTTCCATTTGTTTTTAAAATTTAAACTCTGTCACCTTGTGATTTTTCTCTACTCCTAAAGAGTTGCTGTCAAGGAAAGTCAGTCCTCCCATATTTATCAAAGATTACATCAATTTCTGAACAGCTCATTTAGCTCTTCCATGGCAGTGGAACATAAAATACAGATGCCTGCAAGTCACAGGTATGCTAGAAATTATACTGGAACTTATTGAGTAATGACAGCTCAAAACCCATCATATTTTAATGGCAATCTGTGCATGCAGGAACGCATTAGTGTGATCTTTAAGTGAGAAACTTGCATTGCACCACTGGAGGTTGAAGTCTCAATGCTTGCTTCAGATCATCCACTTACACCAGCTTACACGTAGGATGTCTAAAACATCCAGCTCTGTGAGAAAGACTGTGGTCAACACCCACGTTCCTCAGGCATGGCGGAGCACTCTGCGGTAAAGGCTGGAGTTTGTCTGCTCTGGAGACAGAAGTCTGCCAGAGACAGTCAGAGACCCTGAAGGGAATTCCCCTAGGAGCATAAGGCTCACTCCCTCCTGTTGTGACCACTTTTCTCATTGTTCGTTTTCTAACATAAATGAATAGTGATGTGAATTTAACAAGGACAACCATAGCCGAGACACTTCACAAAACAGCTTTCTCCCTTTGGGAAGAGGATAACAGACACATCATGCGGCAGATGTTAGTCACATTATTAATGTGCTACTGGAAGATGCTCAGGGAATCCTATACGTGGTAAGAAAAGCCACTAAAGGAAGTTTTTGATGACAACAGATCTAATCACTGACCACCTCTTGCATACAAATTATAAAACCACAGCTTATTTTCTAACACCTTGGACAAGTTATTTTTATCCCTTATTACACTTACTTTACTATTCAATCAGTTAATTTATAAAAAAGAAACCAGTTAAAAACAATCTGTGGGTTTTAATCCCATATATAATAGGTAAACCTTGCTTCCCATAGCTCAGCTGTCTCTGATCTAGGATGAGTGATGTGGGGATGGGAGGAGCATTGCTAGAGCTAAACATGCATTTGGGATGAATCCATAGATATTGTTTACCAACGGAAGTGATGTGTTTACTGTACAGTCAATACTACTTGATCTACTTTGAGGAAGCCAGCTGGTAGAGAAGGAGAGTAAATCATTCATTAAAATTGCAATAAGCATATTTTTTATTCCCATGGAATTGGGCTTGGGTGCTTTTGTTTGCTTGTTTTCTAACTGATGCACAAGGTTCTGGATACCTGTGCCTCTTTCTCTGTTGCTGAACTCTATTTAAATGCAAATTAACAAGCCGGGAAATTATCTCATTACTGCTTAGGTATAAGTAGATGATCTGGAACAGTCAGAATATATCTATTTCTGATTTAACAAACAAGCTAACAAAGACCCACAACTCAAAAGTGAAGGCCTTATTCCCCCAAGGTATCACTTGCAGTAAAGTACTACATCCAAACAGAACTTCATATCAAATAGAAGGCACTGCATTAGATACACACCACCTACTTGCTGAACAGTTCTGACTGGAAAAATGTTTTGATAAATTTGCTTCCTTCACACTGGGGATGGCTGGAAGTTCTAGATCATTCTTCTGGTTTGTAGGAGACATAAGTCTACCATTTTCAGATCCTTTCAGCCTGCTGAATTTCCAAAAAGGAGAGGGCAGATGGCATTCTGCGCTTCCCTAAGCTCTTCCCATTAAACCATACTGCATTCTTGGGAATAGTTTAAAAAATAAATCAAATAATATAATGATCTTTCGTAGTGGCCAAAGAGCTGTGATATACTATTTGAATTCAGGACTTTCAGAGGAGCTATGAACTGAACTGGTGTGCTTCGGGCAGAGAGGGAAATAGCAATGCCTTTTAGGATCTCCACAACAGTCATGTGCATACAATTATCTCAATCCTTATTTCAGAAATGTTTTCATTTGAGACTTTTGATTCAAAATGAAAGAATTATTTCAGCAAATAAAGCCACAGTATTTTAAATCTAATTTGAACAGTGTAAGAATTCTTTCCAGTTGTCAGACTTCAAAGATTGCTCACACAAACTCTATGCTGTCTTCCTTTTACCCCATTGAAATCAAAAGGGAGACTAAATGTCCTCTATCCATTTGAGGCTGTGCTGTTACTGACACGGTCCAGACACGTCAAACAGGATAGAGCCCAGTGGCTGTTCAACAGGACAAAGTCAGCCTTTTCCCTAGCTTTGCACAAAAGTAAAATTTGTTCCCTGACCTCTTTGCTTGACCTGTGTGGTCAATACTTTTGTTCTCTAAGATCAGGATTTGAGCTCCATGAGCTGCTGTGAGTCATGGTAGATTCATGACACTAAATGGAGTGAAGCTCATTTAGAGGTCAGATCCCCTCTCACTGCACTGAATTTCATTAACCTCCCAGCTTTTGGCATGACTCTCAGTACTGCAGTGCTTCAGCCTGCTGAAGCATCAGCTTCCATACAGGTACAGTAAAACACTTTAACAGGAGCAATCTTTTTCTTTGCTGAGGAAAAGAAACTTATGACAAAAGCCATCTTACCTTTGTTTTTTACCTGTTGTTAAGGAACTCTGTTAACAAATTACAATGCAAACATTTTCCTGAACCAAGAGATAGGTTTCTTTATTTTGACACTGAAAAAGATCACTTACTTGATTTATTTTGCTTAGTGAAAATATTTGAGGAAAGGACCAAATAAAATGTCGTGTTCTGAGAAGATCAAAACCAGCCAGGAAATCCAGTGTGACATCTTGCTGACAGTTTAGCCCACTGTACGTATTTTCATTGAAAACAAAGACCCTAGTTGATGATTTAATTCTACTTAAAATATACTTGTGTGCTAAATTAATAGCACAGCCTAAGATAAATAAGACACAAATAGAATTTCAAGGATAGCTCAACTTTTTTCTTTCTTTTTTTTTTTTTTTTTCATCATTTAGTATTTTTATGGACTTTTCCCTGCCATCTAATTAGTTCTGTTGCTTCCTCAGACAAACAATTCTTTCTCAGCTAATTGCAAATATGGATCCCAAGTGTTTGCTGACAACCATATGGCTGTAGATATGAAATGTAAATCTTTACTCAATTTTGCCTTAAAAATAAATCCAAAAATGTGCATATATTCAATCAAGAAACATGGAAGTAAAACCTGTTGATGATGCAGGGCTGGGCAGTGGTATGATGTTTTTGTTCAAACCATATTTTAAACTGCTTTTTACCTAAATCTGAAAGCACAGATAATGTGAATAAACAACAAACACTCCTTCCATAGCACACCCCACACAACCATTCCCATTGGGTAAAGGCTGTTCTCACACGCAAGCATGGACTCTTTTGCCAAAGAAATTATTTGGAAACCCTCTGGAGTCATTTTTTAAGGAAGGTAAATATTCCTTAACAGTTGAGCAGCGAAGTTCTGGTGCTGGTTCTTCTGGACTGGTTCTTACTGCTGTTAGCCACTGCTTCTAAAACTATGTTCCTCTCTAAGTGTTGGATACATGACCCTCATGGGATGTATAGTCACCACAGTGCAATTCAAAGTATTTTACAGACCAATATAAAAGTCCCAATCAGAAAACTGAAAGAAGAATCTGAAGATGTTATTCCTGAACCCCTCTTCTGAGGGTATATGTAACACCCTCTACGTAGTTGCAGAGAGAAATGAGGTCATCCCTGAGCCTCCTCTTCTCCAGACTAAGAAGGTTAGGGCCAATGTATTGATCGGAGCTTTGAAAAAGTTCAGGCCTTTTCCAATCTGTTATTTTATTTTTTCCTGTGCGAGAATCAAAGTCAGCGTCAAGGCTTCAAACTTGATTTATAATATCTACTGTATTTAAAGTGGGGCATGATATTCCAGAAGAATCTGGGGAGACTGTGGTACCAAGGCACGCGTTATTCCACGTACAGTAATAAATTTTTGTGGAGGAGGTCACAAGACATCTCAACTAGTTATAGAAATAAAAGGAAACGAGTGCTTCCATTCACACCATGCAGCAGGTAGTTAGAAAAACATAACCCTACACAGTCTGCCTACAGCATCCAACTAAAGTTTAAACCCAGTCAAGATGGCAAAAGGGACCACAGTGGCAATGAGGATTAGGGAGACTGCACAGATTGGCAAGGGTGGGAACTTCAGCTACCCCTTTCCTGGTGAGGCAAAACTCATGCAATGGCATGACTCATATTCTTCCTCCTTCTCTCTGAAATAAACTTTAAATAAGCTGAGAAACTACCTCTTAGATAACCTCTGAAAACTCATAAGAAGTGATTCATAAGTCAGCACAGAATCTGTTTCAAGCTGAATCACAGAAAAACTGCTATTTGATGATCACAATACAATCCACTCTAAGCTTTCATTATAAGAGACAGAACAACTCAAAATTCCACCACAGGAATGTTAAAGTTTATCAACGAAGCTACGGAAAAATGGAAACAGTTAAGATACAAAAGAGCAGCAACGAAAGCAGGGTGACAGCACACAGCAGAGGGGTTATTCAAAAATATCACATAAAGGGACCACATGACCCAAAAAGAAAAATGACTCAGAAAGTCACAATAAGAAGACAGCCTGGTTAAACACCTGAGTAAGGACTGCTCTTAGAATTGAAAGGTACTTCAAAATGCAGA